CCCCGCCGTGCCGCTCCCTTAGACCCACGAGAGTCAGGGAGTGGCGGCAGCGACCCTGCCGGCGGGAGGCGCGGGCCCTCACCCATGACCGCCGCCCTCAAGGGGGTGCGACCGCCGCCGCCCGCGCCGCCGCCCGCGCCGCCGCCCGCGCCGCCGCCCGCGCGGCCGGCCAGGCGCTGCTCCAGCAGCGCCAGCGCCTCCACCTGCAGCGCCGTCCCCTCCACCCTGCCATGCACCATCGCCCACAGCAGCGTGCACATCTCCTCCGTTTGGAAGCGCCGCAGGCCGCCGCCCCCGTCCCCGCGCCGCCCCGCGCCCGAGCCCCGCGCCTCCTCTGCGATGAGGGGCAGCAGGCCGAGCAGCGCGCCGCCGCCGCCGCCGGCGCCGCCCGCCTGGCCGCTGATCCGCACGGCCGACCAAGCAAGCACCGACAGCTGCCGCGGCGCGGCCCCGCGCAGCAGCCGCGGCGCCGCGGCGGCGAGCGCGGCGCACAGTGCCGGCGGCGGCGCGACGCGGGTGCGGGAGTAGCCCCAGAGCGCGCTGTTGAGGTCGCGAATGTCAGATAGACCGCCCGCCAGGGCGGTTAGGCATGTGCCCAGTGATGCGAGCACATGTTGGTTGGGCTGCATCGCCTCCCCGTACGCCCACAGCGCGCTCGCCGCGTCGCCGGCAGTGATGTGCCCTTCGTCCGCCGCGCGCGCGATGGGGATCGCGAGCGCGCCAAACGCGGCCGTGCCGCCCGGGTGGGACACGGCGAGCCGCCGCGCGACCGCGCAGGCGCGCTGGCCGCGCATCAGCGGCGCAAGGGCAGTCGCCGCGGCGCTGAGCGCGGCCCAGCGGCGGGCGTCGGCGTAGCCCATGTGCGACAGGGAGTGCACCGCGGTGGACAGCGCGTCCACCACTGGCTTTGCGGCTTCCCTGGACGCCAGCTTGGGCCCGCCGGCAACGACACCCTCCTGCTCCTCCGGCCCCTCTTGCTGCTGCTCCTGCTGCTGTTCGCGTCGCTCGTCCTGCTCCAACTGCTGCCGTTGCTGCTGCCCCCATTGCTGCTGCGGCGGTAGCGATGGCGGCGCCTCCTGCCACTGCCAGTAGCCGCCGCCCCCGCCCAGCCCCAGGCCCGCAATGTCATCTTTCAGCCGGGCCACCAGGACGTCCACAATCACATCCAGCTCCCGAGGCAGCGGCAGGAACCGCGTGTTGTCGCAGGACCGCAGGATCCAAGACAGCAGGCGGGGCGAGTCCTGCCCGCGCCACGGCCGCCGCCCCGCGCCCCCCGGCGCCGCCGCTTCCGCCGCCGCTGCTACTGTGTCGGCAGCCTCGGTGCGGTGCCCGGGGCCGCGGGCGCATGCGGCTTCGCGAGCTTCCTGCAGGTGGCGAGTCAGCGCAGGGAACAGCTGCTCCAGCAGAGCATGCGCTTCGGCCCTGGGGTTGACGACGCCGCCCCGGCTGCTGCCGCCGCCGCCACCCCCGGCGCCGCCACCACTACGCCCCCCTCGCGCGCCGCGGCGTGGCTCGATGACGCTCAGCGACACGACCGGCGCGCCGCGCCGGTCGACCGGGCTGCCGTCGCCGCCGCCGGCCTCCTCGCCGCCGCCGGGCCCGCCCTGGCTCCCCGTGCGGCCCCCTTCCTGCCTTAGCTGCTTGGTTTGCTGCTCGTACAAGGCCGCGACTCTGTCGGCAAACTGCGCCGTCTGCAGGAATGTGAAGGTCTCGCCGTACCGCGTCAGCAGCTGCTGCAGCTCCAGGAAGGAGGAGCTGTCCTGAATCCAGCTGCTGAGCCGTTTTGCGAAGCCCCCGCTCTCCGCCCGAGCTCCGCGGGCCCCATGCGGGCGCGCCCCCTGGCCACGGTCGCCGCGTCCGGGGCGAGGGCCGCCGTCGCGCGGCGCGGCCGCGGTCCGTTGCGCGCCGCTGCCCGGCGGCGCCCGCCCGCTACTGTAATACCCGTCCGTGGCGGCGCCGCTGCCGCCGCCGGCCTCACTGTGTGTGGACCATCTGTCTCGCTGCCAAGCTCCCAGGGGTGATGAGGATGGTGATGGCGCCGCCGCGTTGTGTGCCGGGTCAGCTGCGCCTGCCGCAGCGCCGCCAGACTGATGACCATGGTCTGCCGAGGATCTGGAGCGGTCGGCAGCTGCGTCTGCGCCGCCCAAACGCGTGGGGACGCTGCTCGCGGCCCGAACGCGCGTGCGATGATGCCTGCCAACAAGGCCGCGCGTGCCAGCGGGCGTGCGTGCGGCGGCCGCCGCGGCGCCCCTCTTCAGAGGTTTGGCCAGCGCGCGCCTCATTGGTCGCGTGTGAAACGCACTGCGAGCCAGCGTCGCGACCGGGGGGATTCAGGGCAGCCGGCTGCGGAGTGCAATTGCGACACAGACCGCAGCCGCCCAGGTGGTGGGGGCTCGTCGGAGCGCGAGGAGCAAACGCTGCGCACCGAGCAAAGTTGCGCTGGGCCATCATGGTGCCGCGCACAGCTACTGTCCGCGTATACAACCCCTCACACTATAGCTCACCACGGCTCGCGCTCATCCGTGTTGTTGACGCCGCAGCATGTGCGGTGATACTGTACAAGTTGCTGCAATGGTCATCGGTAAGTGGCTATCGCATATTTCAAGGTGCGACGCAGGCATGATATTGTACCAATGTGTTGAATATCCACGTTCTCTGCTGCTGACGCGGGTGATAAAGTGACTCCCAGGACATAAGTGAGCACGGCGAACTTCGGCACAGAATTTGCGTACAAAGGCTGCCGTCTGAGAAGGTCATCGTTTCACCATTGTCATATTGTGATGCCTGCCGCACAATGTAGATCAGATCCTTGATTTGTCACAGCACCTTGCAAATCGCAATTAGATGAGTGAAATAATAGCTTGAATACACTCTTAAACTAGAAGCACGGCGCGCAGCGGGCATCAATGGTGCTTCTGCCTGCCATCAGGCGACGAGCGGCAGCCGCAGCGCTGCGCCACATCTTGTGCAGCGCCTCGCAATGCCGCGTGTTCAGCAGCAGCACGCCAGGGGGTGGCGATCAGGAAGACAGCGGCTTTCCCATGCTGTTGCGGGACTTCATTCACGAATCCCTGTACCATCCCGTGAGTCTGATGGCGCGCCTGTTTGCAGCTGCACAAGACTGCACATCAGGCTGACGACGACCTGGTGACAGCACCAGCCGACAGTGCCTGCTCCAGGTCACCCACCAACACCCGTCGGAGGGCGCTGGGGCGCACCGGTGACCGCCAAAGCTCCTGCCAATGCGCAGCACCCCTCCCCTGCCTCGTACCTGGCCCTCCAAAGGTCCTCGGGTACTTCAGTCGCGCACGCCCGCCCCTGGCGCGGCTGCCCGAGCCTATCCAGTTTGGGCAGCTGGTGGGACAGACAGAATACCGACTGAAGCTGCAGCAGCTGCACAAACAGCTTGAGGTGGGGCCTGCGGCGGTTGTGATTGGAAGCAGGTGCTGGTCGGTCGGCAATCGTTTTGAGGCAGCTGGAGGCGCTTCGTGTAGGCAGCACCGTTCTCTGCGGCTCTCGTGCACACGTGGCGGAAGGGTCTGGGTCAGCCAAGCCGACACCCGCATGTCGCCCTCCAGCACCCTTTCTAGTTGCTCTCTCCTCCGCAATCCCGCCGCGCCTCTGCCATCCTGCCCCTCGTCATGTTGCCCGATGACACACACACACGCTTGCACACACATGCACACACACACACACATACCGGTACAATGCGGCCCGTTGACTGCACGTGCAACAACACTTGCAAGCATTCACACACACCCACACACCCACGTAAACACACATATGTAAATGTAAACGCACATACATACTCTACACAACATGTGTACACACACGCATCCACACTTTACCCCACTTTGGCCCCCCCAGGTCGACTGGCTTACGCCCGCAGAGGTGTTTCGTCCCTGGTTTGGGCGCTCCATAGCAAAGTACCTGCTGGAGGAGCGCCGCCACACCTGGGGGGCGCGCGAGCCGCTGCTCATTGTTGAGATCGGCGGCGGCACGGGCAGCCTGGCCGCCAGCGTGCTGGTGGGCGCGAGCTTCGGGCGCGTGGCGCGGGGGCATCAGAGGCGAGCCTGATTGCCATGCGCGTTAGCAAGGTGGCTGATCGGCGCGGCTGCTCGTCGCGTCGACGGCGTCATGCGTCACGAGCGGGCCCCAGTGCATGTCGGTTACGGCATCCAAGGGTCACGCCACAACCTCGAGCGAACCCCTCGGAACGACCCTGCCCCCAATGGCCGCAGGACTTCATAGCGGAGGCGGACCCCGTGGTGTATTCCTCCACCACGTACGCCTGCCTGGAGATCAGCCAGCGGCTCAGCGAGCTGCAGCGCCAGACCGTGGCGGGCGACGCCGGCCACGGCGCTGCGTTCCTGCCGCTCAATGCGGACGGGGGGCAGGCGGCCGCGTGGGAGGCGCTGGCGCGGGCGCTGCCGCCGCAGCACGCCGCGGGTGGGCATTGCTTCGTCCTCATGACGGAGGTCCTTGATAACCTTCCCCACGACAGGTCGGCTGCGAATTTATGCTTGCTTGCTTGCTTGGCTGGGCGCTCATTGCGTTTTGCTGGTTGTGTTCGAGGGGTCACCGAGAGGCCGGCGATGCATGGGTTCCGGCTCTGTGGGCCGGGGCGTCCAGGGCCCTCAGCGGCGCAGCCGGGCTGCGCATGCAACGGCGGGCCTCTGCGTCTCTGCAAAGGGCGAAGGTCAGCCAGCTGCGCGGCATTCGACACCTCAGCCGGCTCCCGCAGAACCGGCCAGCCCCAGCTCTTGCGCATTGCGCAATCCTGGGGTGTCGCGATCCTGGGCTGGTTCTGACTCCGCCTTGCGTTCGTGCAGGGTTGTGAGGGACCAAGAGGGCAGCGACTGGCGGGAAACATGGGTGGCACGCCCGCAGGCGGCAGCAGAAGAATCACCACCATCACCCGCTGCAGCAGCAGCGGCCGCATCAGCAGCGGCGTCGGCGGCGGCCGCAGCCGCCGTGCGGCGGAGAACGCAGGTGTCAGACGAGGCCACAGGTGAGGCGGCAGCGGAGGCGGCGGCAGTGGAGGCGGCGGCGGCGGCAGCAGCGGCGGCGGAGGGGCAGCCCCCTTGGTGCGAGGTGCTGCTGCCTGTGGGTGACCCCCTGATCCGCCGCTGCATGGGAGCCGTGCTCGAAGGCGGCGAGGTCGGCGCGCCGGCTGCCTCGGGGCGCTCGTGGGCGCGGCGGTTGCTGGACAAGGCTCTTGGCGCAGGTGGGCGCTCTGGCTGGGCGGGCAGAGGGAGGGATGGGTTGGGGCTGAGGCTGGCTTAAACCCCCACCGATTCACCTGCACCACAACGGTCGAGGG